CGATTTTGAGGATACGTCACGAGAGAATCATAAGGATCTTTGTAAGATATTAATTAATATGATCTTTAGACGAGACGTTACTTGTTCGAGAGATTAGATGAATGTCCCGGAAAGAACGGCCCAAATATTTTGACGGTCATACGCATTTTTTTCGATTGGGATGACCCGTACACGTTATAAAGCAGGGATTTTCTTTTTTTTTTTTTTCTCCCCGGCCAGAATAAATTGTTTTATAAAAGATATAAAGGAGATGAAAATAGAAGTGCTATGTACTGCGCACTATGATTCCCGTCATATGAATCCAGTTATATTTTACATGGCTTGCAATTATTACCCTTTCCTTTAGGCTTTGACTTGGGACAGACATCACAACATGGTTTTATAAAATGCATAATAACACATTGAAACTAAGAGGGGGAAAGAAAAAGATTAATTACTTTCCAATACCATAATGTATCATGTAATTACACGGGTGTCCTCAGAGCCAGCGTATCTAAAATAAGTGATCCTAAGATCGCGATAATCCTAGCTTGTCGATTTGGCTCCATGGCTACCCGTGTAGTTACAAGTAGTAATCTCAGGGCCATTTGCGTAGATACGCAGACTCTAGGATTACTCATGTAAATACATTAAACTTTAAGAAACCGAAATGTAATTAATGAAAGGAAAAAAAAAGACCAAGTATCGGTAGAAGAAGAAACATGTCGTCTTTAAAAATTCAATGTCATGACTCCAAAAATGTAAAAAGAAAAGAAAAGAAATCCTCCCCGTTACAATTACAAATTCACAAAATACGCAAGATTCTCCGTTTACAAAACTCGCTCCTTCCTCCTTGATCCCTTCAATCCCCAAGCCAACCCCGCACTCTTCGTCACCCACGAATCTAGATCCACACTAACTTTCCCCAGCCGCGAATGCATCCCTTCAATGTCCTCCTCGCAAATCACGACGTTAGTCGCCGCCGAGTAAATGTTGACCTTCACGCCATCGTCGGTGCCTGGCCGCGGGCCCCTTCAAGATCCCGATGGCCGTCTTGAGATCGCTGATGGCGTTGGGGTAGTGAACCCTGGCGCAGGAGTTGTACTTGTGGGAGGGGATCACGCCGGAGTCGGAGTCGGCGGCGAGGT